CTGTCTGCCGAGCTTCATTGTTGGAGAATCAAGTGGAAACACAGAGGAAAAGATATAGAGCTTCCATCCACCATTTATGAAGCCCTTCATTTGCCTGACATCAAGTTCTTCCCAAACGTTTATGCATTGCTGAAGGTCCTGTGTATTCTTCCAGTGATGAAAGTTGAAAATGAGCACTATGAAAATGGACGAAAGCGTCTCAAAGCATACTTAAGAAACACTTTGACAGACCAAAGGTCAAGTAACTTGGCTTTGCTTAACATTAATTTTGATATAAAACATGATTTAGATTTAATGGTGGACACATATATTAAACTCTATACAACTAAGTCAGAGCTTCCTATAGGTAACTCAGAAACTGCTGAAAACACCTAAGAGACTGTTTTTAAATGGGTTTTTTTCTTATATTTGATATTTGGTACAAAAGCTGGAAGGTTTATGTTGGCCACTTAATCACGGAATAACTTTGCCTGTATACCTAATGTATAGACTGGACATATTAGCCATTGATAATCTACGTATTTAAATGGCTCCTCTTTGAATTCTCATGCTTTGAAAAAAAATATCTGTTCTTCCAGAAGATAGCAGTGAAAGTGTCATGCTTTGTTTCTTTGTCTTACCTTTGGTGGTACTCTGGAATTTTTTAAGTTAAGTCATTTTAGACATACATTTATTATCACTGTGGATCCAGTTACCAGGTATTGAGTTACAGTTCTTTTAAGAAATACATTTTGTGGAGGTGTGCGAGTAAGGAATATATTTTATAAAATGTTACAATGAAACTCATGACTGATTGTTGATTAGTGGGAGTTTTAAAAAGCTGTAATGGACAATTAAGAAAATTACCAGGGGGATGCGAACTATGAGCTTGCCAAATATGGATTTCAGTGTAGATCGTCTTTATCATATGAACCTAAAGGAACGAATTACAGTTAAAGTGTGAATGGAAGAACTTACTATAGTTGTTATAGCTTGGGTTGCTGCTGTTTACATTCCTTTGTTGAGCCTACACCTTCATAAACCTTTTGGCAGGTATATAGTGAACATTTCTCTTTCATGGTCTAAATAGACTGTAAGGCCATGGACACTAACAGCTGATAACTTTGGTCTTTTTTCATGATTATATCTACTGCCTCATCTTGATTTATAAGCAAACCTGGGAAATCTACAAAAATAAGTGTTTTGCGGTTTATCTAGAAAGAATACAGAAATTATTACTGTTATTTTTGGTGAAGAAAATCAATTTTGTACAGTTTATTTCAATCTGAATAAAATGTGAATTTTGTTTAAAAAAAATCCTTATCCAAGTCCCAGCCAAGAAACTCCAAAAGCACATCAAAAATTAATTTCATCATGACCAAGTGGGATTAACAAGTGTGCAAAGATGGTTCATGTAAGAAAAACAATTAACATAATTCACTACATTAACAATGCAAATAACAAGAAACATACGATTCTAGAAATTAACATTGAAAAGGAAGGCATTTGACAAAACTCAATATCCCTTCCTGATAAACACACTCAGCATTCAGAAGAGCTAAACTATTCAGCCAACTTGATTTTGTGAATGTATTAAGGATAGGGCACACACCTGTAGGACCTGGCCTTATGGTCCCACCACCTGGAAGCTCATCCCTTACCCTTAGAGCACCTGGATCTGTCACCTGGATGCCACGACCCACCACCTTGAGGACAAATATACTGCCACCCTCTGAATTGCACCTGGGTCATCAATATCACAGTTTAAGCCATTTCCTCACCTCTCACAGAACCTGAGCTGCCTTTAGCACTGAGCATGTTGGACCCACCCAGCTACAGCAATTCCCTGACAGAGAAGGCTGCTAGTTCACAAGCCATAACTCTCTCCAACTGAAGCAAGTCTTCCCTTGAGTTAAACGTTCAAAGAGAAACTCAGGCAGGGTATCTGCCCAGCCCTCTTCTAGAACAACAACTTCCTGAGCCAACGTGTTCAGATCAAGAGCCTGCTAAGGCCTCAGGTATGAAAAACTCTACCACAGCAATATCATGGAAGTAAGCAGACTACCTCACACCCCCCCCAAAAAAACCCTCAAAGCAAGATGTCACCCCTGATTACCTGAAGTCAGAAAGTCTGATGGAATTTTATGACACAGAATTCAAAAGAACAATAACTGAATATTTTCAATGAGTGAAAGGCATACAGAAGAATTGCAGGACTCTGCAAGCAAAACCTAAGAATAACAACAAATAAACAACAAAACAAAAAAGAATCCAAGATAATGCAGACAATATAAATGAGGCATTAGAGGCTCTGTAAAAAGCAAGAAAGCACAATCTAGATTATGAGACTGATGTCTCAGATGCTGCCAATATGTTAGAGGGACATAGAAACAGAGTTGAACTGATCTGACATGGAACCAGCTAAATAGAAGATAATATTATCACCATTGATCTATTAGAACAAAAAAGCAGAATTAAAAAGAGAGAAAAAGAAGAAAGCCTAAGAATAATGTGGGACACCATCAAGAAGAACAACATGGACATAATTAAATCCCAGAAAAGGAAGAAACAAGTAAAGTCACTGATAAAGTTGCATAAAAATTACTAGAAGAAAACTTTCCAGGAATAATGAAGGAGAGAATATATATTTAAAAACCTGAGCAACATCAAGTATAGTAGACCTCAAAATAAAAACACCCAGGCATATCATAGTCACATTTACCAGAACCAAAGTTAAGTAGAGAATTCTGAAAGCAGCCAGGGAGAAACTAAGAGAAATCTGTATGGGAGAGCATAAGATTTCTCAGCAGAAACTAGGAGAGCAAGAAGACCACTGAAAGACATATTTTGAACATTCAAAGTATACAACTGTCAACCTAGAATACTTTACACAGAAAAATTGTCAATCAAATACAAAGAAGAGATCAAGATATTCTTAGAAAAGAAGGACTTAAGCGAGTTTTTTAAAAAAAAAAAAAGATCAATGTTACAGAAAACACTGAAAGACTTTCTTTTTACAGAAGTGCCACAGAAAGCAGGATGGACCGAAGTAAATGACAACACTAAAAATAACTCAACAAAATGATACTAACAAACCCTGCCTCTCAAAAATTACAATCAAAGTGATTGGTTTAAATGCACCACTGAAGAGAAAAAGAGTAGCAAGTTGGATTAAACAAAAACAAAAACAAAACTTCATTAATATGTTGTGTACAAGAGACACATCTGAAAAGTGAAGATAAAGAAAGACTAAAAATAAAAGGATGGAAAAAATATATTTTGCAAATGGAAACCAGAAAGAAAGCTGGAGTAATGATATTAATCTTTGATAAAATATATTTTGTTGCAAAAATAAAAGCAAAGGATAAAAAGGTCACTTTATAGTGCTTAAAAGCCAATGGAATAAGAGGATATAACATAATTAATATTTTTTTGCCAAATGATAGAGCTCCAAAATGTACAAAGCAAACATTAACAGATCTGAAAAAAAATAGACAATACCCTATAGTAGTAGAAGACTGCAATACATTCCTAGCAAGAAAAGATATAACAGAAAGAAACTCAACAAAGATGCTGAAGAATTATATCACACAATAAATCAACTCAGTCTCATAGATATATGCAGGCTCATGAATCTCAAGATAGCACAGTATACCTTCTTCTCCAATGTACATGAAACGTTCTCCAGAAAAGATCACTTTTTAGGTACAAGATAATTATCAATACATTACAAAAACATAGAAATAATGCAAGACATCTCAGACTACAATGCTACAAAATTAGAAATTAATAACAAGAGAAAAAATATATACATTTGGAAGCTGAATAACACCTTGCTTAAATAATGAGTGGGTACTAAAAAAGATAAAAATTGAAATTTAAAATTTTCTTCAAACAAATGACAATGAAAACATAACTTACCAAAACCTCTCAGAAATAGCCAAAGCAGTAATTAGAGGTAAATTTATATCATTAAGCAAAAATATCAAAAGACAAGAAAAAGTGGTAATTGACTCTTTAACTCAACATCTAAAAAAAATTAAAAAGAAAAGCAAGAAAACCTAATACCCTCAAAAAAATTGAAATTATTAAAATTAGGGAAGAAACAGATGAAATAGAAATAGAAAAATGATTGAAATAATACACAAAACCAGGAGTTTCTTTTTCAAAAAGGTCAAGCTAAACTAACAAAGGAAAATATATAATAAACACAAATAATCCAAATGAGAGATGAAAGAGGAAAT